CCAATTTGTCTTTTTCTTTAACCCAAATGAAGACGTAAAGGTTTGATTAGGGCAGAATAATAATACAATTTTACTTGATTCAGCTTATAAAGATATTTTTCAGATTCTGCACAGCTTGCTATCTTCGGTGAAGGGTTTGCAGTCACTTCCTAAATCTAGGTGTCTTAAGTCTCGGCCAAAAGCATTGCACATTTTTTGGGAGGCATCTTTCTGAATATAATTGAGGTGCCAGATATTATTGCACTTTTTTCTCTTTTACAATTATTATTATTTAAGTATATCCTTCTGTATTTAAGACCTTTTTTTCTTATCACGCAGCACGTTGTACTTTGTTTTGACAATTACATTCAAAATAGAGTTAATTATTATTACTATTATTATTAATCTAAAGAATGATGAGTGATTCAGGTCTGTTGTATTTTATAGGGTTAATAAACTTAAGTTAACCTGGTTCAAGTGTTTGCATGTCAGGTCCTGTGCTTTACCTTAAACTGCTTTTAATCTAATATTTGGGTCACGTGTAAACATACTCCTTCTGTCTCTGCCGTGGCCGCCAGCTATTCTCACCACACGTCTCCGCTCCTCACTCTCTCCCTCCCTCTGTTACTCCTTCCCTCCATCTCAATACTTCAGTGTTCAGGGTGGCAAGTCTTAGACAAACTCCACCAGTGCTTGTATAATTGCTTATTCAATGCTGACCCCTGCTCAGTTTTGGGGGGAGGGTGGTTGATGAGGAGGAGGAGGAGGAGAATGGAGAAGGAAGGGGTTGGGGGGGAGTAGCTGGAGCCTCCCAGTGGCTGCCAAAGCCCAAGTCAATGTGGAGTCTGTTTTTTGGGCCGGCCACAGGTCCCAAGCCAGGGCACTTTCCTGTGGGCCCACCTCCTCCTCCTCCTCCTCCTCATCTTCACTCTCCTCCTTCATCCTCCACCCTCCTCTGAGCCCGGCTGGGCCTGGCGCTGGCACAGAGGTCCCTTTGTTGTGTACCCGAGAGCCTGGGCTCTCTCTCTCTTTTCCTCCCCTCATTCTCTCTCTTTCTCTTCCTCCCTTTCTCTCTCTCTTTTTCCACACACCCACCACCTCCCCCTCACCATCCTCTCCCTCCCGTCTCCTCTAAAGGTCTCCAGGCTTCACAAATATGAGATAATAGGAAAAATAGAGCTGGCCGCTTGTGGTGACTCAGGGCAAAACGTCTGAGTGAAAAATAGAGAGTGAGTGAGTGAGAGAGAGAAAGAGAGAGAGAGAGAAAGAGAGAGATGGTATTGTTAGTGAAGTCGGTCGGAGTGAGCTGGACTGAAGTTGAGTCTCCTCCCATCCCTCTCTGTCTCTTTCTCTCTTTCCTTCTTTCTCCAGCAGCTTCTGAACCAAAAGCTCGCTGTGGATCCAAAAGCCGAGTGGGGGCTCACTCTAACACACACACACACACACACACACACACACACACACACACACAAACACACACGCTTGCACACGCTGTTTTCACTCTCTGTCTCTCTGCCTCTCACGGCAGGTGGATGGGGTTGTTTTGGCTCAGCTGCAGGGCACCAGCTTGACTCCGTTTGAGCCAATGAGCCAAAATAATAGCCGACAATTCCAGAGTTATTGTCAGCGTTTTCCCCCCTCTGCTTTTCCCAGAATCCCTCTCAGCCGTGCGGGATCAGAAATCGGAACATCGCCCTCAGATTAATTAATTATGGCGCTTTCGCATGAAAGTACGCCAGCGGGATTCGCAGTCATATACTGTGTGGTCAAAACAACAACGGATGGATTTTCATCTTAAACCCCTCCGATCTGTCCAGGCCCAAAGTTCCCAAAGATGCCTGTGTTTTCATATTTATATCTAAGTGTGCCTCTTTAAAAAATACTTAAGGAGAAAGACAAGAGGTGCACTGTGGAACTAACACTTCCACTTCCTTTCTCTCCATCTTCTTTTAATTTCCCCCACCCCTTTTTTCTTGTCAAGTGGGAGGAGGGTAACCTCCTTCACCCTTGCCTCCCAACACCCAACCCTGCAAATATGCGGCCCACACCCCTGCGTGGGTACCAGACTCAACCCGCTTACCTCACAAAATGCTAACACACATGTAGACATAAAGTACCTTTGCGCTCGTGCACACACACACACACATTCAGTGTCCCATACGTCACAAGAACAGGGAGTAGCCTCACTGATTTTCATGGAAAGTGTTGTGCTGTCCTCCTTTATTATGTGATTCTTGGCCCTAATTATCAATAGTAGACGCTCGCTTTGTTTCCATCCAACTGTCAAGTGAATTTTGTGAAAACCCTATGAAAAGTTGCAGAACATAAAATTTGAATCATGTGCATTTCCATCCGCTTAGCTGAAACAAATAAATCTGTGAATGTGAGAGACGTGGAAAGAGTCATTTAAGAATGGTTCTGTATCAGGGGAGTAATCATTGTGCATTTCATATTCTAACTTAAAGACAAAGATGAACAAGTTGTGTGTGTGTGGTCCAGGTATTACTCATGTTGTGAGGACCTTAATCTATTTACACTCACATTATAGTGGCTTTTCTTTCTTATGGGGACAAAAATACAGTCAGCATCATGTACAGTAAATCATAAAATTTTTAATGAAGAGCTGTTTCAATGTTAGGTTAAGGTTTAGGTTAAGGATAGGGTTAGGCAAGTAGTAACCATGGTTAAGGTTAGAGTGACAGTGGGGGTTCATTTCACATTGAGATCTCATCGATTTCTCCTCTCTTTTCTTCTCTTCTCTTCTCCTTCTCTTCCCACCACTCATCTTGCCCATTTCCTCCCATTTTTGTGTCTGCCACACAATGAAAGAGCCTCTTGGCTTTTATTAATAGTTAAAGTGGCCCTGGTCTGTCACTGGGGACAATGGCTGCAGCCCTGTTAATAAATAAAAATAATAACTAGGAGATGGAGAGAGAGAGTGCAATGGAAAGAGAACAGGCGACACTGCCATTTGTTGTTCCCTCTCACTTGTCAAAGCTCTTTGGCTTAAAAGCCTCTGTCATTGTTGAGGGAGAGGGAGCTTGGGGGAGAGATGAGAGCGAGAGACAGAGAGGGAGAGAGGGAGTGCCCGGGCCTAATAGCACCTGTTGGGGTGATGGTGAAACAGCTGTCACGGGCGGGGGCGAGAAAAAGAGCACAGGAGCGCAGTCATCTTCTACGAGTGTTTCCTTCCCTCCGCGCTGTTTTTGCAACCGCTTCTCTTTCTATCTAAACTCTACTCATCCTCCTCCTACCTTTATCCCCATCATCTACTCAGCTATTCCTTGAAGGCTTTGAGAGGGACGCGGCGCTAAAACTTAGTTTACTGACTAACTGGGTGAGTGCCAGCGTTAAAACCACAAGGACAGACCAGTCAGAGCGCAAGGTTGGAGGGAAGAGAAATAGAAGAAGTGAGAGATGGAGTGGCTTCAAGTTGACTATTCAGTATTGATCTTTGAGTTGCAATTGTGCGCTCAGTGTAATCAATGGAGCGTGAATGCTCTTGTCTCAAAGCCAGAGGGAAGAACCTGATTCAGGCCTCTAGGGAGGCTGCAGGCACACACACACACACACACACACACACACACAAACACACACTTAGGTATATGTAGAACACGCTGCTGTGCTTCATGTGTGTCTGAGGAAGCCTTGCACAAATCTCAATTCTCTTTGCATCACTTCCTTGTTTGTTTGGAATCATGTGACATTTCAAATCCCCCAAATCTCCAGGTGGTTTCCCTTAATCTCTCCATCACAGATGGAAAAAAGAGGGAGAAATAGAGTTTAGAGCACAGATTTTTGTGTTTGCATGATGGGTAAAAGTACCTTGATTTGTTGTGTGTCACAGAAAAAGCACTAAGATCTTCAACTCAATACACCTGACAGGAGAACCGTCTAATACCAGCAAGATTATGACTTTTTTCTTAAATTAGTCTTGTCAGTTCGGGGGGAAATAATCCAGGAACAAACAAACTTTTCAGCTGCTTTCAACAGTTTCCAGAGTGTATATATATATAGTGTGTGTGTGTGTTGGTTAATCATCCCTCTCAGAGTGTAAATCTTTCCTTAGCAAGGACTTGCATTACTAGTGCAGATGGCTCCCAGTAAATAGAATACACTCTCCCTCTCGCTCTCTCTCTCTCACACACACACACACACACACACACACACACACACACACACCTTTTAGTCCTCCTTTGCCTGATCATCTCATCACTTCCCTTTGTCTATGTCAAAAAAAGACAACATGGTAAACAGGTTAATGGTGGTATTCATATGTACATGTCTGTTTGTGTGCGTTTAGTGTGTATAGAGTATGTGAACACATCAAGCATTGAATCTCCATGTGTGTGCCCTCGTGTGGCATTTCTCTTTACCCCCACTGTGTCTGTGTGTGTGTGTGTGTGTGTGTGTGTGTGTGTGTGTGTGTGTGTGTGTGCAAACATCCATGTGTGAGCGTGGCCATAGTTAGCATTATAATTAGTGATTCTGCGTGTGTGTGTGTGTTAGGGTCTGTGGAGTGTGCGTTGAAAACAAAGCACTAGCTGATAATGTGTCCATTGTGGCGGGTGCATTAAGGCCCTCTTTGTCTCAGGACCCACAGGGCTAATGATTCTCTAGCAGCAGGTGAGAGGGGAGAAAAAGCCTCTCGCTCTTTCTCTACTCCTTTCTCCTCCACTTGTCTCTCTCTTTATCTTGCTTCAACTCTCTCTCGCTCTCTCTCTCTTTTTCTCACTTGTTTTTGCTCTTCAGATTTCCTCTCTTTTTTTTCGATTATCAGCTCCTCTCTTTCCACCTCTCTCTCCTGCTGATGCGACCATTAGGCTGAGCTGCCGCTGCCTTTATTACAGCAAATGGACTTTAAATGAGCTTTATTGTCATGTTGGCCAGCCAACTGAATCCCTCTCCCTCTCTCTCTCTCCCCTCTCTCTCTCTCTCTCTCTCTTTCTCTCTCTTTCTCTCTCTCTCTCTCTCTCTCTCACTCTCTCCTCTGCCTCCCCCCTCCTCACCTAAACAGAGGCCCCCAGCATTGAGAGGCTGTTGTCCAAGGACTGGAAGGATAAACTTTTGGCCATGGGCTCAGGGCACATTGGAGAAATTAAAGGTACGGTACGAACTAAGTAATGACACACAACTAAACTACAGTGAGCTGCAGTTAATTGTTGATTGAAGACATGTCTGAAAAATGTCCATAAATCTATTTAGAAATCATCAAGAGACTCATTTCAAATTTATATTTGCTTCATTTTCTTCAGTGTCAAAAGTAATTGGTTGTCCCTATCCACGGTTAAAGTGTAAACAAAGTGCAAGTAGTGAATGCATCTTGTCATTACAGTGCAGATTAACAATAATTTAAAGAGATAAGTGGAAAACCAGGCAATAATAGGATGTAATTAATTACATTTACTCAATTACTGTAATTACTAAATTACTTTAGTACATTTTTCATGTGTCTATATATTACTTAAACAGATTGGTTTTTGTTACTTTCCACTTTTACTCCCCTATATCAGCAAATATCTGCTATTTCAACTGCGTTCAATTTTTACATTGCTTTTATATATTTTTTAAGTAATCAATAATTAGAGGGGAATCCACAAATACTACATTTTTGTCTATTTATTTGCACTTTTACTTAAGTTAAATGCTGGAGTACTTCCTCAACTACTGAAAATACGTATATAACTGAAAATAAGAATTAATGCCTGTGTAATATGAGCAGTGAGTACAGCATATGCCTGAAAGTAAAGTGAAAGGAATCCGAGGAAAATCAGGTGAAATAGAAATAAACAGAAATGGACTGAATCCAGTTGAGCTGGAGTCAAATGAACCGAGCTGCCCTGAACTGAACCAGTCTTTGTCTGGTGTGTTTAACCAACAGGTCAGAAAGTCAGAGATGTCTCCGCTTGTTCATCAGCTCTGTGTTAATCTCAGTGTTAATCACCCATTTTATCCACACCAGCCGCTCTAAACGTCTGAGAGCGAGGCAGACAGAGTAGAGCAGAACAGAGCGCTGGAAAGGAGAGGGGAACGAGAGAGCTGCTGCGCTGTGAGCATGCGGCAGCAAGAATCAGCCAGAGAGGGAAAGAGGGAAAATGATGTGAGAGAAGCAGAGAAAAAGAGAGGGAGAGAGGTGGAAGGGACTTGCTGTTATTCCCTGTAACTCCAGGGCAAAGCTGTCGTTCTCCACTCGTAATTGAGCTTCATTAGGAAGCAAAGCAATATGTAATCAAAGAGGCTCGCAGAGCGGCGTGGTCGTCGAGAGGGGGCTCCATTGATCAAACCCCCTTTTCCCAGCTCCCCGCCGCGCTGACATTTCTATGTAAGGGCGTCCCGCTTGGCGCACCACACACCAACAGCTGGAGAGCAATATCAGGAACATGTATGAGAGCATCAGTGTGTGTGTGTGTGTGTGTGTGTGTGTGTGTGTGTTTGCGCGCAGTGTAAGTGTGCATGTCCGTTGTCCAGGGCTCTGTCTTAAGAGTGCTTACATAATAATGTGTTTCGGTGAGTGTGAACCATTATTGGCTAGTATTGTGGAAAGTGCACGTGCAGAGGTTTGTTTCAAGTGTGTGCGTGTGTGTGTCAGTTCATCCCTTAACCCCCCCCTTACCCTCAATCCATTTCCATTGAAGAGCTTTGAGTGTGGAACAGTGATTTGGAGCCACCACCTCCCGCTCTGTCGGCCTCCAGTAAAAGGCCCCATGCAGCTCCCATAGAAAAACTCACACATGTACACATAAGTCACGAGCATGGAGCCTGTTATAATGATACTTACTTAACTCTGTAACATTTATAACACAATTACCCTCAGTAGAACTTGTAGAAAAGCTGACTGCAAACTTGTGCAGCTCATTTTACTATCAGTGATCAGTGTTTTCCTGTTCTTCTTACATTACATTAAATCTGATGCTTGCAAAAGACTTCAATATAACCCAATTTAAGTTCTTATTTTTTGTGATGCTATTGATCAACTGAGACATGTGGGGTAACGGCAGTATTCTTAATAGTGGTGGCCAGAAAAATGTTGGGGGAAAAACTATAATATTAACAAATAACGCTGATTATAATACTCAGTAAAAACATTAAGGCAAGATGCAATAAACAGCGATGGTAAGATACTCGGGCTACAAATCATGTCACCAGTTCTGTCACCACACAAGCCATGTACTGGGAAAATCAGGTTACCGCAAACCATGTTGTATGCGCTTTAATCAAACCTTAATTTTATCAGGTTAAAAAATTAACTCAATTTGATAATTTGCAGTAATATGGTTATCATGCTCATGTAAATGTATTCTCAATATACTTGTTATACTTCCAGACTGTTTTCCTCCGTTGACATTCTCAGTCTCCACCTCCACCTCCCCTTCCTCTTCTTCTTTTTACTCCCTTATCTTCCCTAAACCATCTTCTTCTCTCCACCTCTCATTACTGTCTTATCCTTTCCCTCCGCTCTGCTCCTTCTCTCCCTCCTCAGCTTTCTCATCCCCACACCTCCCTCCTTACCGTGGGGGAGTTATCAATGCAGCCGGGGTCATTAATTAGTGGCGCGAACGTGGTGACAAGTATTACATTGTTACAAATTGGTTAATTACGCCATGGCGAGTTATGTGTGCGAGAGAAGGAAAAAAAAGAGTGGGGTTGGTGCTGGTCTGGCAGGTTTGTAGGTAAGCACAGGCCGCAACAATCTGCCTAAGGAGGAATGTGTGTGAACCGATGGAGGAAACCAGTTATCGATCCACCTGCCCGCCTCGCAGCAGCTGAGGAAACAGGTCGACGCAAGGCTGATTTATGGGGCTGAACAAGGGAAAATCTGAATGGGTGAGACAGGAGCGGCTCGCAGCTTCACAAGTTTTCTCAAAGCTTCGTCTCAGTTAGGAAGCGTGTTGTTTTCCTGGATTCTCCCTCGTCTTCTGCAAATAGCCTGGTTTACTGATGAAAGATCCACAGCTGAGAGGGGGATTGAGAACAGCTTGTATGAATGAAGGAAAAGACTGGCTGTATTCTCTTTCGCACCTTACTACTCAGGCTGCCGGGTAAAAGAATGTCCCTCCACCTGGGCTGGCGCACACACACACACACACACACACACACAGCTTTTGCACAGAAGAACCTACTTTTACTGTGTTTGCATTTGTGCATGGATGTGTGTGTACATGTGCAAAGGGGGGCTTAACCCTAAAACGAACCCAGCAAGAAAGACCCCTTTGATCCATCGTTTCACCTTTGCAACACCCCCACCCCAACTACCACCACCACCCTTCGTCTTCTCCCTCTTGCCCCCTTCCTCCCCCACCCCCATCTTGAACAGGCTAACGTTTTTAACACAAGGCTCTTTCTTGTCTTGGTCAGCTTCGGCTACACACACACACACACACACATACACACTCTCTTTCTGGCTCTACAAAGGTGGGTCTGTGAGTTAGGACAGCGGCGTGTTTATTTTTCCAGTGGCCAGCGCTCCCGACAGTTGCCTTTATTGTTCATTGTTGGCGGATGGATGTAGTGTGTGGGGGGGTGTTGGTGGGCAGCTGAGGGGGGTGGGGGGTGGCAGTGGCTACCAACAGGGAGGACAAATGGATAGTTCTCACCTTCCCCGCACGGTCAAAGTGCAGGTCAGCGGCCGCAGCTCGCCGCCTTTGCTCCCTCTGTCCCCTCGTCTGACTCCACCCTTTCATCTCCCCTCTTGTGTTTTATCCTTTCTCTCCTTTCCTTCCCCCCTCTCTTTCTCGCTCTTTCTCTCTTCCTCATCTGGTTTGACTGGCCCAGGAATGTGGCCCTGTTAAAGGTAGCAGCTGAAGAACAATAGAGGATTGTGCTACTCCACACATGCGCGTACGCACATGGCCATGCACACTCACACAGACACAGACTTAGACACACACACACAACAAAGTCATGTAGGCAAACATCGGTACATATGACCAGACATGAGTGCACACACTCGTGCTGATTGTGCCTCAGTGTGCCTCTCTCTAACTACATCCTGTTGAATGATTTAGGCCTTGTGTGGAAGCGTGTGTGTGGAAGCGTGTGTGTGTGTGTGTAATGGAGCTGGTATGTCAGGATCTAAGGAGTCAAAGGTCAGGCCATGCTAAATGTGAGCAGGAGGTTGGCTGACTGCAGGGTAAACACAGACCAGACACTCTCCTTCTCTCTTTTGCTCTTTTCCCCCCTCTCTTTCTTACACACACACACACAGACACACACACACAAATACAGCATAGAAAAAAGACAAATCCCTGAATTTACCCATGATTTACCGCCAAATAAAATAAAATAATTTGAATTTTCCTCAAGTTTTAGTGCTAAAATGTAAAATTTTAAACCTGGCTGAAGATTTATTGTGTTTGTTAAACAAGAATGAATCTGGCTCCGATTTCACATTTGTTTTTCCACCAGATTTTGTCTGTTTACAAACGCTTCAGTGCCAGATTTATTCTCTTCATTTCAATGACGGCAGTAACGGATGTGGTCTCGTGATCACTGCTGTGCCCAGGGAAAGGAGTCCACATCTGGCTTTACAACTCCACATGTAGCACATATGCCCACCTTCCGCTGACGTGCCCCCCTCCTGCCGTCCACTAACCCCTAACCAGTCATATATTAAGTTGACCAACAAGCCATGGATAGCGTTGCACCGCTTTGTTGTTCCTTCCTTGTTTCCCTCATGCCTCTGACCTCCGACCTCACCCCCACAATCCTTTTTGACCTCACCGCCACATCTCAGCTTGAATTTTAAAAGTAAATATAATTCCAACCTTGTATCTCGTATGTTCACGTGACCATGCATCTTGATTATGTTGAACTTTGCCGTATTCTGATCTTAATCCAATACATGAGTGCCTTTATTTCACTAAAATCTATTTAGCTTAAACTAAATAACGGTTATTCCTTTGCAGGATATTCACTTTATATATTACTTTTGAAATTTAAGGTAGAGAAAAAGCAATTTTACTTACAAGGAAAAGGAAAATCAAACTGCAGATTACTGGTGCCTTGCTGAAGGACACAACAGCAGGCGCATAATTAACAACATATCTGCAATTTGACTGAAGGGTGAACCACAGATCCCAGTCAGCAGTTGTAGCATTTGGTTTATTGTCTGTCTATTTGTCTGCTACATCTGAACAGCTTTTAAAGTGCATCATAGTTTCTTTCACCAAAACACTGCAGAGACAGTCTTTCTAGTTGTACCAATCAGGTTTTAATAGCCCAGTTTCATTGCGTAACCTCAGCCGAGTCTTGCTCTCTTCTTCAAAGTGCTGCCATGTCACCTTTGACCCCTTTTCTCCCCCCTGCTCTCTTCTCTTAACCCAATAGGTACCCCGGACAGCCTGGCGGAGAAAGAGCGCCAGCTCATGGGCATGATTGGTCAGCTGAGCAGCCTGAGGGAGCAGCTCCTGGCGGCCCATGAAGAGCAGAAGAAGCTGGCCGCCTCGCAGATGGAGAAGCAGAGGCAACAGATGGAGCTTGCCAAGCAGCAACAGGACCAGGTAGAGGAAGTGTTTTTAATTTGGAAATATGATGTGTGCCTACACTGCAGAAAAACATCCTACCGAATCATGTTGTACAGTTTGATTTTGCAAAATGAGAGAAAAATCTTATTTCCAACCAGATCAGTGCTCCCCTGTACATATATTGAGTATTTGGGCAACCTGCCCATAGTTAAAAATACAAACTCTACAGGTTGAATTTTTTTGAAAACACATTTTCTCTTCAGTGATACCACCACATCTCTATCCTCTACTGTCTCTTTCAATTACACACACACACACACACTCATGCATGGCACATACATCTCATATAGTGTACATGGAGCCAGAGATGTGCACCTCTGACAGGTTGAATTCAGGGACATTGCAAAGGAATGCGCTGAGGTTATGTAGTGCTGAAGTGGATATCGCTGACACACACACACACACACACACACACACACACTCCAAGCTCCCAGGCAACAGTCTGCCAGGTATTTGCATAGAGAAGGGTTTCCCTCTTTGTTGTGCTTTTTTGCTCCTGGAAAGAACAACTTACACACAGGAACACAGCTGTAAGGACAAATCACCTGTGACAAACACAATGCCGTTCAGTGCCCTTGGCTAAATCCTGTACCAGTGCACATTCAATGAGTCTCGCCGTATGAGCACCATGAGTAGTGTATATGTATACTGTACACTTCCATAATGTGCTTCCATTCCACTGGATGAAGCACAGTTGTCTGTGCAGAAGTTAATTATAGTTTTTGGGAATGTAGCTGAGGCGTCAATGCAACATAAGAGCAAACAAAAAAATGGATAATAAGTAATGAATGAAAATTTAATAGGAGGGGATGTTGTTGAATAAAAATTGAAATAGTTGATTAATAATTTAAAAAATACATATTTACACTGGCTTTACATGAAAATGTTAGCTTGACTATCATTTATTTTTTGTTCATCCGAACAGTTGTGAAAGGATTTTAGAAGTTTTATAAACCTGAAGAAGTAAATACTGATGTACAGATTTCTTTCAGACAAAAAGTAGCCTATTTGAGATTTGTTGTGTCCTGCTCCGTATCAAAATGACAGAGAATGCTGTCAGTAAGTGTGTCGGTGTGACACTGATGTCCGTTTGGCGATGAGCTGAGTCCAGATGAGATGAGCTCTTCAATATTTCATCGCAGGACATCGGCCCTGTGTCATGCAACTGGGGCCTTGGAAACCTGCAGATGTGTCACATGTCCCCTAGGCCCTTTGCACACACACACACGTACTATATATACTGTACACTCGAAAAGTATGTTCTGTGCTCTGTCCTCAGATTGCCCGGCAACAGCAGCAGCTTCTACAGCAGCAACACAAAATCAACCTCCTGCAGCAACAAATCCAGGTGAGGCTGGTGTGTGGGGGTGTTGTGGGTGGAGGGGAGGTTCAATTTTGTCTCTGTGATTGTTACAACTTTTCTTTGCTCAGCCATCAGCATTTGGGACCTGAATCAGCTATGACTTATTACACCCCCCCCCCCCCTAAAAACACCCACACACACAAACACACACACACGCCTGCACACAAGAATTCACAACCTGTGTAATCACTTAAAAGTGGTCAGTCTGTTTGGAGAAATCAGGAGCTGGGAGCTGGCAAGAACAGTGTGCATCTTAAGTCTTTATTATATAAATCAAAGTTTACACATCAGAATGTCAGTGAAGCACACTTCTCTAATGTTTATTCCATTCTGTCTGTGAGTGATTGCTGAGGTTTTTGCACAGAGCGCAGTAGATTGGCTCACTTCAGCGACAGCTGCGTTGTACAAATCTAGAGAAGGCAACTCGGCCAGAAGACACTGGTGAGATGAAGAAACAGGTTCCAGGAAAATCCGTTTTTATTTTTTTTATTTTTCTGGGGGGGGGTTGTGGCAACAGTAGAGAGATGTCAAAAAAAGAGGGGAGGGCAGGATATGCCGAATGACAGGTCAGGACGCTGAAGTTCATGGTTGGCTCTGACCCTTAACAGTCCATGGTGATTTTGGTATGTGGTATTTTATTTGGTTCAATTTAAAATGGAAAATAGCACTAATGCTACAAATGAATCGCCTATTTTTTGGGTTTACCTGCGTTTAAATAACCTACATATACTTGCTTATTTTGGTGTAAAAGTGGTAATATTTACCCTGTATCTTTTACAACCTATCCTGCAGAGTTATGAAAACAACAGTAGATAGAATACGGAATTTTCTGGCTTCTACTTCTACACACATTTGGTGTAGTAATCAGCTTGTTTTTCTACCCTCATGACAGGGCAGGATTATTTACCCTCTGCTTTTTGTCACCTGAAATGCACAGGAGTAATTCACCTCACCAGGCAACACCAGGACACACAAACTGAGTTGACGTCTTATTTGGAGCCACCTTGTTGTGAGCAAGATGTTACATAAATCAAATCATGTCGCTTATTCACACACAGTCTTATCTAGACAAAAATATCGACTAAGTAGATGGAAATAAAAGGTCTCTGTCTTTAGGTTTAGTGAAAATGGGGGTGGGGGCATATTCACTTAAAAATGGAACTATTGTCCTTTGGGGGGGGGCTACACTGGAGCCTCTATGTTGGTCCAGGTGGCTTGGACCGAATAGCCCAGGCCTTTGTAAAGGCAGACGACACTGAATTTTGAGCTGAGAAAGCCGCGCTTTGTGTCATAAAGAGACACCCTGTCCAAGAAGGAGCGCGCAAACACACACACACACACAGGCAGACACACATTCCCTTTCCTCCGGAGAGTTTAGCCATGCACAGTTTGTGTGATAAGAGACCTTGTGATAGCATGTGTGTGGGACGTGTGCCTCTGTGAGTCCACGGTTCTGCGTAAAGCAGCTGTGTTTATTTGCTTTGTGCGAGCTAAATTCGGAATTGTTTCTGGGTTGGTTTTTTTTGTCCCTTTGACAAAAAAGAGAGCACGTTTGTTTCTGAGGATTCCTCTGTGCATTCTTGAGCGTCCATCCCTTCACCCGTGCGTGTATGTGGCATGTGTGTGTTTGCCGCAGCTGTGTGTGTTAAGCTATAAACACGTCCGCTCATGATTCACTCCCTCACGACCCCGCCGAGACAAAGCTCTCTTTTCCCATGACTTTGCAACCTTTTCCCAAACAAGCGTCTCACCATTGAACAGGCCCCAACAATAGTTTCTCACAAGCAGGGGCAGCTGTAGGCAGCCTCGTTAAGAGAGGGACACAATCAACAGGGGCTCGTCATTGGAGCACAACACATACACACACACACACACACACACACACACAAATTCACGTACATCGCACACATCAAAGTATGCACAAACACAGACAATAATATGAAATATGGGCCTTGATTCGCTCGCACACACACATGTCGCAAGCAGTCACAGAGCGCGCTGCACTCTCGCCTGATGATCAAACACACACTCATCATCAAAGACTTGGTTGAGAAATACACTGCTTAATCATTCATGAAGAGATTGTCCGCACAATCCCACAATACAATGGCCTGCCAGAGAGAGGGCACCAGGTTCAGTATGTTGGGGTGTGTGTTTGTGTGTGTGTGTTTTTTGTCTGTATGATAAGCCCCTTGTGATTGCATTTCTCCCCAACAAGGCTGAGTTCAGCTGTCCCTCCGTGTGTGTCTGTGTGTGTTTGTGTCTGCGTGCGTCCTTGGCTTTGTTAGACCCAAACCCCGAAAGGCCTGTGAAGAATGCTTTCAACCGTCCACTTGGAAGAGGTGATGAAATGAAATGAATAATCAAGCTCATGAAAAATAGAGAAGAGTGACGCACATCTTTCCCATGAAAGGAGGACAAATTATTTATTGTCCTCGTGTCCGGTTTCCTATTTTTCGCACCCCGAAACCCAAATCAAGCTACCGATATGCATGTTAGCGTCAGTTATTTAGGCCAATGGCACACGCCGAACGCGGTGCGGGCCAACAAGCATCCGCAAGTTCATTTGCAGAGACAGGCTCAGCAGCAACACCAGCTAATGACATACAGTATAAACAGCACACACACAGGGATGCAGCGTTCATTAGTGTTCTCAAATCACTAATTTATTCTACCTGGAATTATCCACGAATTAGCAGCAATTATGATTAATTTATTTTCACACACACACACACACACACACACACACACACACACTCACTTACATGCAGTTGCACACACATTGTTCAAGGATTCTTTTATTCTGCATCACCTAATCCTGGCGTAACCCTTGATCTTCTCTTTAGTTCATGTCCTGAATTTAAACTGAGTTTAACTTTAACCTCTTTAGTGACAAATCCTAACCCTTAATCCAAGCCCTGATTCTAAATTACCCTTAACCTTAACCCAACTGACTTAATCTAAATTTCAATCTTAAACTAAAACCCAAAGCCTGACCTTAAAACCTATCCCCCTGGGAAAGTAAAGAAGAAGAAAATTGACCATTACTTTGTTGTTACTTCATTTTGTTCAGTCAGAGGGTAAAACTAGGAAAATAAGAACATGCGTGTAAAAAAAGACACACAGACACACTAAAACACACACACACTCACTCCCACCCCCCGCTAAGGGGCTTCTTGTTAGGCTGGAAGGGGTGACCACATTTCCTCAAACTTCCCTTTGCTTTTGCTCTCGTCTTCTCTCATTCTAATTAAGTGACTTGTCTCTGAGGCTCCCCTCGGTGTTGCCGGGGACGACTGGTGCTGCTGCGCTGGGAACCGCGACGGGGATGAAAGGAGCTCACCTGCCAAGCGGCTCGGAGCTTACCTTGAGAGCATGCACACATTTTCATAGAAAAGACACACACACACAATGTATATTGAAACAGAGAGATGAGGGGACAAAAGTGTGTCCTGCCTAATTAATCAAAACTCACTCAACCAAAACCGCACACGCACACAAACACTTGCGAATATACTGTCAAACATGTCTTACTCTGTGGTGGTACCCTCGTGTGCTGTCTTTTATCTCATCAAGCTCCACCGTTGCTGTAGGTGGGAGTCAGCACAGCATACAGAGAAGAAGAGAAAGTAAGGAAGAATGAGAAAATTAGTGAAGCCACCTGATGCTTAGACTGGTTGAAGAGAGGCTAGACATGCTGGCGATAGCAGCTAACAAGCTCCCTATTAAGGCTAATCTACATTGGTAACTCAATCACAAAGACACACACACACGCCTCTCAGTGTGTGATACCTGACGCAGTCACAAGCACAGCCTGTGTCAGTGCCAGTATTTTTCACTCTGTGGTGAAGGAAAAGCAGAGACTTTATAAAATAGCCTGCTTTTCATTCACTTTTAAACACACACACACACA